AACAGTCCAGCTCCATCTTCTTTGTAACCCCTCAGTCTTTCCTTATAAGTAATGTTCCACATTCTCAGTTTTTACTGATTTTTTTTTTTTTTGCTGATAAATTCCCTGGCTTGTTTGGGTTTAAGTCAATCAATTTTTGCTGATTTACACCTGTTTTTCAGTTCAAATCCCTGAGTTCCCTCAGTTCAGAACCCACATAAATGAAGGGAAACCTGTATATTTTTTAGTATGCTGACAATTCATACACGTGTTTAAACGGTTTCTACATTTATATTACAGAAAGAAATAGTTGTACTCTCCAGAAGTTACCACCATCCTTCTGTTGCAACTCCCTATGGTAGTATCCATGAACAAGGATTTCAAAAAAGAAAAATAACATCCAACTTTTGTCCAACAATATTTATTTTTCTTAATTTTTTTGTGTAAAAACTTAGTTTTTCATAAACTGATTTTGAATTATTAGAAAAAGAACAAAGAACAGTAAGGTTAGGCTAAACTTTTTATATACAAAAATAATTTTTGTGTCCCTTCAAAACTAATATTTTTTTTCTAGAAATCCTGGTTTGCATAGGTTTGCATGGTTTTCTTGAGTGTGTCCTCACTCATGTTGAGCCTCTTGCTCTCTTGGCTGTAGCCATTTTGAAAATAAGCGTTCTGCATCCACTGATCTGGGGGAATACACTCAAGAGCTTGTCATGCAACTTTAGTAAAGTTGGGAAGTGTGTCTTGGTGGGTATTCCAAAAAGGCAACACATCCAGCTCCACACTTCCAGGGATAGGCATGTTCATGTAGGTAGTGTATTTACTTTTAAGGTGAGAAATTTCATCTTTGGTGGCAAATGGTTGATACACTCTGGCATAGTGGTCATAGTCTGCTGCAAAATTCACTTTGAGAAAGGGGTTCAACACCTGAATGACATTCCAAAAAGAATCTTTGGTGCCAAACACTTTGGGGTTCAAATTATGTGTTACAGTTGCCTGCCATTTTTTGCAGAGAACAGTGTTGAAGTCTTTGAAAGCTTTTTTGGTTCTTTCACGTTCCAAGGTTGAAAGGATTTCAAGAAACAATTGCGTTTTCTCACCAAATGTTTCTGTTGCACCTTTTGCGTTCAATTCAGATGATATTTTTGTTGTCAGTACGTGGGGAACTTCTGTATTAGAAAATGTCATGTTGGCGGCAGCATGGGAGAACTCCAGTGCTTTTCGTATTTCAGACAGCGAATTCAAGTTCTCAACAGTGAACTCACACCTTGGTGCGCAGAATCTGGCGGTCACTGAGATTATTTGCCTGTTTCTTCGGAGTTTCTGCTTTAGCACCAACAAACTCAGGGTGATCAAAATACGCATTACCACAGTCCACACCTTATTTACATGACACGCAGCCAGGCAGAAACTCATCCACCAATGTGGCACAACAGGAGTTGGTAATCAGCTGTCAAGTTTGCAGTAGTCTCGCACTTTATAAAACAAAGCCTTCAGCTTGTTTGCATGTTTGAAAACAGCCCCAAATCTAACAAGGGAAGATTTCATGTCTCTCATTTCTTCACTAGGTGTGGCTGGTGATAGTGCAACAAGAATTAAATGAACAGGGCAAATAACTTGCATTAGCTCCAGTCTGTGATTGAGTTTTATCTCCTGTGAAAACTTAGCCATATAGGGGGCAGACTCTAGAGCTGGCCACATTTTCCCAGGTCAGTTGGTACATCTCTAACATTGCATTTAATGCTGCTTGGATGCTTGGGCAGTCAGTAAATGGGATGAATGTCACATCTGCACAAAACAATGCAGGTTTTTTGGCTTTGAAATCAAAAAATGAAAACAAAAGGCCAAGAATCGGGCAATCCAACACAACAGGGGATCAAAAATCAAACTAGACACCACATTTCCATTAATTCTTTCAATCACTTTAGATACTAGAGCTTCCTCATTTTCTCTGAGGTACTTAAGAGTGAGGTTGTCTGCATTAGGAAGAGTTTTTGCTGCTTGACAGTATTGCCATGGTTCCTCTGTGAGAAACAGTGGTTCCCCAACAAAACAAAGGGCGCACACAAATTCATTAACAGTCTCTAGTTTTTGGGGGTTGTTTTAAAACTCTGTAACCTTCTCTCTCAATTATAGGATTTAGTGGATTTGGGGGAATTTAATAAAATATTCTTGAAGAGTTTCTAGTCGTCATTCACCTTTTTAAAAATATATATATTCTTTTCATATAAGAGCTGTTTTAGTTCATGATTATGTTCAGCTTTTAGAAGCTAATCCTTTAAATGCACTGAATGCATGTACTACTGCTTTGGACTTCATTCTGTTTGCAGGTACAAAATGTACTGTATTTACCTGAATATAAGGAGAATACTTATCTTATGACCCTGAGGGTTAATATTTCTTCCCCGTCTCATTTCCTCTGATCCTGAATTATGACCTATGAGTTTGGTTTGTTTTATGGTATCTTGTTTGGAGATTCCTTCTTTATTTCTGCTGAGTTAAAGTATAGCTTTCAAACTGATTTGTTAATGATATGTTTTAACCAATAACTCTGTGATTCCCAAAATAGACATATTTTATTTTCAGTACATTGACTTCCTCTGAATGGTTAGTTACTTCACAAGTTGCAGTTCTTTCATGTCCTTGCAAATGTGTATTGCAAATCAAGTATGGTATGCACAGAAAACCATAAACAAACAATAGAGGGCTGACTGACATTTTAATGGTTGACTTCTAGTGCTACTGTATGTAATGGGTATCGTTGCTAGAACCAAAATTGCTATTTATTTGCAGACAATTTTCTTGTTTCTATGTTATTAAATTGGTAATTGAACCCTGCTGTTAAACCCAATGTTAGATTAAGTACTTCCAATCTGATGCATTTTCTTCTAACCACTGAGTGGGTTGCTGTGCCAAATTTAACAGCTACCAGGTTCCATCCAAAGTAGATTTTCAGTTGTGTGAAAAGTGACCCGCCCCCCCCACCCCCCCAAAATATTTTAATCTACTCAGTACCTTTATGGAGGAAAGACACAGCAGTGTGTATTTTTCATCATATATTGAAGGACCTGGAGAATACTAATGAATATGTACTAACTACTTGCTAGCATAACATATAGGATACATAGACTAGGGTGTAAGTCAATGAAAACCAGTAATTCATTGACTAGGCATGCCTGCTTGAATCATGTTACTAGGTGGATGCCAAAGCAATCTGCTGGCTATCTGGCCATGGACAGAAAGGAAGCTCAAGTATATGGCTTAAGACAGTGGTCACCGATCCACTGATAGATCTTGGAGCCTCCTGAAGTCGATCCAAGGCTGGGATGGGCGGCTGTGTGCATGCACATGCGTGCCCCAGCCCAGCAGGTTAGTCTGGGGGGGAGGGAAGGGGCAGGGGCTAGATCGAGGTCCCCACAGTGAGGGACAGTGCTGCAGAAGCAGGAGCAAGGGGTAAGTTAAGTGGGGCCCCAGCCGGGTGGGATTCACCTGCTGGGGAGCTGCACCCCCAAATAATTTTTTTCTCCATCTGCCCTCCCCTCCTCCCTCGCCACAGATTTACCTGCTAGGCAGGGGGAAGTGGCGGCACACGGTAGATCTTGGGTTGCTTTTTAATGCCAAAGGTGATCTACTTAAAAACATTGGAGACTACTGGCTTAAGATCTGATCCATGGGCCTGAGTCTAGGCTGATCATGATTGCAATTCCTTGGAGCACTAAACATTAATCAAATTACTCCCTGAATTACAGTAAGCTTACTGGCTTAAACACGCTGCATCATCACCCTATGGTATGTCTGCCAGTCATAGTTGTCAGAATTCTAAATAGCAAGTTGTTGTCAAGTACTCCTCGCTGAACTATATCCTCACTCTACAATAACAAAGTGGGCCTTATTGAGCCTAGACAGCAGATTCAGACAAACTTAAAAAATGAAGGTTTCATTTTTAACATTAAAAAAGAATAACTTTGTGAGGGACCACTATTAAAAAAGAAAGGATTGAGTGCCTGAGCAGCCTTTAAAAATTCTGGGTAGCTTAAGGCATAAGGATATAAAACTTTAGCGGGAAGTGGACTGTAATAACAGTACTCAATTTCAAATGTCCTTGTTTTCCAAGGAGGGGAGGTAGCTTAATAAACACAAAGAGAAATAGACAAAGACAGGGACAACTCTCATGCATTTATTTGCTTACACAGCGCCCAAGAATACCTTGGCTCATTCTGGTGATTAATTAACTAATAACTTGGGTGATTCACTTGATCACCAGAGTTAATTTATTAAAATAAATTTGTTTTCCACTGATCCTAAAATTGTAATTGCCCCCATTCTGCAACTTTTTTTTTTTAAGTGAAAATGCATAAGTATATTTAGAATTTTTGGAAGAAGCTGTGTCAGATTTAGTTGGAGCTTTTGGCACTTACAGGACATTGTGTAAGTCAGTGGTGCCCAACATTTTTGCCTTGCAGGCTGGATGAGCAGTGTCAGATCTGTCCACAGGCCTTATCCTGTCCATGGGCCAGATCTGAGGTGTCGTGCTAGCCCAGTCAAGGCCCAATGTGCAGACATGTGGGGCTGGGAAATTTGGCTGTGTGGAACTGGTAGCAGTGATAATTGCCAGTGCGGCCCAACTGCCAAATTTTTGCACCCACAGGCCAAATTACATGGGCCAAATTATATGGCTCTGCATGCTGAATATGGCCCAGCAACTGGTGGTTGAGCAACTCTGGTATAGGCCATTTGTATTTGTGGGATAAACATGTAGGTTGTCTCCTGCATGAGTCTGTTTGCATTTTTGACTATGCAGATGTGTAAGCAAATAAATATATTTGAGCTGTCCTCTCTTCGTCTACTTCTTTTTGTGTTTATTAAACTACCTTGCCTCCTTGGAGAACAAGGAATTTTGAAATGGAACTGGACTGTAATAACAGTACTCTCACTAAAGTTTTATATCCTTATGCCTCAAGCTAGCCAGAATTTTTAAAGGCTGTTTAGGCATTCAGTCATTTCTTTTTAATAGTGGTCCCCCACAAAGATGAGAACTTGAAATATTTATGGCCTAGATCTCTTCAAAGATATACAAGTACAGTCAAATTACTCTACAGCTCAGCAAGGTTTGCTTAGTAAAGCAATGAGAAGGAAAATGCTGCAAAATCAGCTCATGAAGGAAAGGAAGTTACCCATAATTAATGGGGGATCTAAGTGAGACACAAATTAATCAAACTGCCACAAAGTGGTGTGTGTGTAATAGCTTCATGTAACAATCCTACCCAATTTGCAACTTGCAGCCCTCCAGTTTTAACAAATGATTGTTTATTTTTTAAAGTTATTTTGCAACTGTGTATAATTGTAAAAGTACCTTAGGAAATAGAAAAATTCTCAGAAAGCAAAGAAGAAATCATTTAAAGTGTCCACAGCTTTTAGAACATTCCCTGTATGTGGCTGTCTGATGACAGAGGAGTGTAACAGGGCTCTGTTTGGAAGAAGAAATGTGGTGAGTTTACTCATTAGAGATGGACACAAAGCTAACTGACATCATCCTGCAGCGGGCTGTTTTAAAGGCATCTGAAACCAGCAGTGCTGGGGACATCCCTGATTGGTCCATATGGCTGGAAGGACCTATACAAAGGTAACAATAAAGAAGGTAAGAACCCCCAGATAGAGGACTGCAGGGCAACCGAGAGGGTTGTGACAGTCTACACGAAGATGTAGAGCTCTATGAACTGAGACAGCTGTGGAACCTGCGGCAACACAGCCATATGGCCACAAGGTGGCCGGACAATCAGTGGGAACCAGGATAGAGAGGGTCCTCTGTGTCTGTGACCCTGCTACCTGGAGAGTCTACAGGAGGAATAAAAAACTCTGAGAGGCGAATCAGGGGTGGCAGATGCCCCTATAACCCCCTAAAGACTATTAAGGGGCCCTGTTGTGAGGAACTTGGAGATATAGGAATAGACAGATCTCCAGAATATGGACTGGTCAGGTGTGGACAGGATATAAGGGGTGTTGGAGCGCAGCAAATGGAGGCCAGTACACTGTGCACCTATCATCCCACGTGAGTTGCTGATTTTCTTTCTTTTGGTACATTCTTTACTTTCTCCCATCGAGGCATGGCTGGCAAGTCCACGGAGGGATGATGTCCCACATGAGCACAAATATTAGGAAGGTCCCCTGTAACAAGGATAGAGAATGAATAATGTGCTTGGAGAGAATGAATAATATGCTTATTTATACCCATTTAAATGTCAACTGGCTGCTACTTGTCTACCACCACAGTCTCAAGAATCAGCTTTCTCATTCTAAATACTATTGATTTGAATAATCTCATCCTACCTGAAAATGTACATCCTTTATTTTAGATGAACAAAACCTAATTTGGGCAGACCTGCTGGCTTTACAACTCTGCTGTGACATAAGTGGGCTTGATGGCAATGGTCTATCAGGTCCCCAATCCCAAACAATTTTTCAGCATGCTGATATTATCACTAGAGGTGGGCCCAAACACCACTGACCTCTGGATGATAAACTTGAAGCCAGATCCAAGCACAACACAGATACAGGCAACAAAGTAATATAGGAAAATAAAAACAAATGGTTAAATACAAAATATGGAGTATGTGACTAGGTAGTAGTGCTGCAAAAAAAAAAAAAAAAAAAAAAAGGATTTGC